CCCTCTCCCCCCCCCCCCCCCTTTTTTTTTTTTTTTTTTTTTTTTACGAGAATCAGATTTTCATTGCTCCATTCAATTGCTCTCCTCTGCCATTTTTTACAGCTCTTATCGTTCCCTTGGAATATGGCCTTGAGACAGCTCATCCGTGTCCTTCACTGTGTTATCTCTTCTAACTTTTATTAAAACTTCAGCTCTCATCTGAAGATAGCTAATTAAATCCATGACAGATTATACACTCGTTTAAAAACTGCACTGAACTACTTTTTCTAAAGAGAACAGGGTTTATTTTCTTTTCCCATAGTTAAAACTAAGGGCATATAAGGAGGTTTCATTCATTTACAAAGACAAGATCCTTATCTTTACCTAGTATATAGATAGGTTTATATTAAAGTTCCTTTGTTGCGTGACAAGACTCGGTGCAATTTCTCACAGTAATTATTTCTTCTTGCTGGAAAGATCTCTCAGCCTTATACTTTTGAAATATATATACCAACATGTATGTGAATGCACGTTTACACCCCAGAAAAACATTGCTCTAAAATATAACACAAGCACTGTAAATTCTTTTTCTAAACGTTAGTATGTCTTAACTATAACAGTACTATTTTGACAACATTGCAGAAAGTAAATTTTTCTTTTTCTCTACAAGTAACAGTGAAATCTTTAAATTATTTAAAATCATATTGAGCATCATTTTCTTACATTAAAAGTACACAAATTCTATCAAGGACTGGTCTTACTGCACCTCCACCCATCATCTCAAATTACCACCAGCTGGACTTGAATGCAAATGGCTTTGTTATAACAAATAAATATTTGCAGCAATGGATATACTGCTCTGCAGCAAACGTTACGCAGCTCCTCCACTGCCTGCTTCTCGCCAGCATCCAGGACACAAACCCGTGCTCAGAACTGCTTCTGAGTGGTGCAGAAAATCACAATACCCACCAAAAAAAACTGAGCATCTTTCACAACAGTTAAAAAGAGATATAAAATATGCTCACGGAAAAACACCCTACCCTCTAGGAAATATGGTAAATAACCCACCTGAGCCTCTCTGTGATCCCTTCCTTCTCTTTAAGGCCTTTTGTAAGATATCCTTCATGGTGACCTTCATACTGTCCACCTGAATAAGTGAGAATCCATGAGCAGCATTTCTGCAAGACAGATGCACATGCGTTTTTACAAAATCATCATCACCAGGCAGCTCACCGCAATTGTCATGAGTTTCAAGCAAAGGACTTGTTAGGCACAACAATTAACAAAGTTGTGCTACGAAAGTAAGTTAAAAGGAGAAACTGAGCAAACTCCCTTAGAAAGGAAAAGTAAGTTAAAAGAAGGAGAAACTGAGCAAACTCCCTTAGAAAGGCAGAGACAAAAATGGAGAAAATGGATTGAGATTCAAGGTGTGTAAGGATATTCCTAATTTATCTTTATTTTTGATCAATTTGTGTTCATCATTAAAAAGAAAAATGAGCAATGTACCTGTGGAGCTCCTCAACTACTCCCTATGAAGTATCTGCTGGGTGTTTCCCAGTGCACACAAGACAAACAGTTTGCAGGGCCATTTCCACACCCGGCCCGATGGCAGACGGAGCGAATCGTTACGGAGAAGCCAAAGGAAAACGCTCCGAGAAATAACAGCAGCTTTTCAGCACTAGTGATACGCAGCATCGTTTCAAACGTCAGTAATGTGCTTTCTTTGGACACGGTTTTGTGAACATCATGGCACAAAATCTCAGGGCAGGCTCGGGGCAGCGGGGCCGTGCCCTGGCACTGCCCACGGGAGAGCCCGCGCTCGGGGCAAACGCTGCCAACAGGCCGATACCGATGGAAAGCGGCGTCACTGGGGAAGCAGAGAAGATGACAATAGAACAGAAGAGATGCTGGATTAATCTATCAGAATTTTGCCCCTCAGACCTCGCAGTCAGTCTCTGCTCGTGTCAGTAGATGTCACTGCAGACAGCGCAGGAGTTGGGGCTGAAGCCCACGGAGAGCGGCACTGCAGGGACAAGGTCTGCAAAGCTGTTCGGACAGGAGGAGCAGCTTTGGATCTGGCAACCAGGAATTTTAATCAGGGAGTAGAGCTCTAGATGAATATCACAGCTGGAATACTTTTAAAAGCAACTGGCAGTCCCAAGCAATCCAAGCAACACAATTACATCATGAAACCAAGACCATATTACATGTCACTGCAAGACACAAACGCTGGGAATACGAGTTGGAGTTCAGATCCCCCCAGCCGTGGTGCCCCCAGCCCACGCTGTGACACAGCTCAGATGAACAAACGACACCTTCGAGCCCTCACCATACAGTAACACTCACCCCTGGCCACCGGCCGCAGCGCAGACATGGTGGCCAGCAAACGCCCTGCCTGGGCACACACCGGCCCCCACCTGCTGCCCGCAGCTGCCCACCAGCAAGCACACGCGTCCCCTCCGCCCTGCTCACAGCACAGGGCTGTCTGATTTACCCCAGTTCAGCTTTTCAACCCAATGTCACATGCCAAGAGCAGCTGGAACAGGCTGAAGAGATGGTCAAGAAATCCACAACAGGAGGGACTGGACCAGGTTGCCCAGAGAAGTTGTGGATGCCCCATCCCTGGAAGTGTTCAAGGCCAGGTTGGATGGGGCTTTGAGCAACCTGGTGTAGTGGAAGGTGTCCCTGCCCATGGCAGGGGGGTTGGAACTGGATGATCTTTGAGGTCTCTTCCAACCCAAACCACTCTGATTTATGCATTACAAAAGATAAAGATGCTGTACGTAACATACCAGATGGGTCTGTCTGCAGAGCTTTCCCCGGCTCCTCCGCCGGCTCAGCCCCGGGCTCCTCACCCCACGGCCGACAGTCCCACAAGCCACGAGTATAAAATAGTGTTTCCTTCTCATCAATTGTGAGTTAGTCTCATCTGAATTTCATTCTCAATTCCCTTTGTTCCTGGCAAAATGAAACTGCCTAAAAGCCCCAAATTTATGTTCTCTAGATCATTTATTATTTATAACTCTATCTTACTCGTCTTCAAACCAAATATTCCCAACATTTTCATGCATTTACTTTTCTCCCTCTCTATTTCCATCATGTGTTCAACGCAGGAGGAGCAGAACTGAGCCCGCTGCTCCACAGGAGGGAGTACCAGCCATGTCTGCAGCCCGGAGACTGCCAGCCCCGGCACAGCCCTGGGATTCAGGGCTTTTGACTAATCCACACCGTGAGCAGAGGCCTTCCTAAACTCTTCACTGATGAGCAAACCTTCCCCAAAGCTGCCGCGGAGCCCTGCAACGTGCACGAGCACCGCACAACATCTCGCCTTTGCCCAGCAGCTTCCTGGCCGTTCACCTCTCTTCCCAAAGCCGTTACAGCTCTAACCCGAACCGACCTGCTGAGCTGAATCCATGAAAGTGAAAAACCTCTTCTACAATACTATATACTCCAATTACAAACAGCAAGCTACCTTTGTGCTTTTATTTAAATACACAATGTTTGTCCATGAAGTGCTGCAAGAAAAGCCTCACACGCTGGACCCGACCATCAGGACACTGATTCAAAAGGCGCCTGGCGCCTTCGGGTAGTTCAGATAACGCTCTGCAACACAGAAAGCAAGCTTCCAGAGAGCTGCAGCCAAAACACAGGGAAACAAATGAAAATACTCCAGAAAAAAAAATCTAGCGAAGGTGAAGAAAGTCTTCCAAAACCCTCTACGATCAAAACAACAGGAGCCACAATTTTATACTTTTCTCCTGCAGTACAAAACGTTTTTCAAATGTGTCTTCCCGCAGCCCGTGCCACGGATCAGCCCCGCTCCCCACAACGCGACCGCCGGCGGGCCACCACGGCCGGCCCGGCCCGGGGCCGCTCACTCCGACACGTATCGGGAACCTCCCAAAAATGGAAGACTCTTTCGGTTCCTGACACTCCGGCTGCTAAAGAGCACACGCTGCGCTGGTCCCGCTCGCGTTTCAGGCCATCCTGACTCGGTCGATTCTTTCTACGGAGCAGCTGGCCTGAGAACTGTCAGACTAATTTTCCTGACACTCTATTACTAACCCATGCCTGAGCCACGGCCATTCTTTGCCTCAGAAGCTGGATCTCATCCCAGAACAATCTTTAAAAGTTTATTTTACTGATCAAAGCAAACTAAGAAAACCCTCTGTGTTTTACTATATTTAGTGCGCTATCCGGTAAGCGAGACTTTGGCAAGAGCAGTGAAATGTAAAGCGCACCCTGCATTTGTAAACTTTTGGATGTTTGCTCTGGAGCAGAGCCAGAGGGTCCCAGCTCAGACACACGGTTCTGCCCTTCCTTTGCTCCAGCTCGCCAAGCGTGCAGCGCTGGGTCCTCCAACCATGCACCACAGAACCTCGATAAACCCCCAAACCTGAGCCGAGCACGGCCTTAAGCCCAGAGCAAAGAGGTCCCACCACCACCCCAGGGTCAGGCCAGCGGGTCGGAGCACATCTCCTGCGCCGCAGAGACGCCCCGCGGCGCGCCGGGGCGCCAGCGAACTGGGGGGGCCGCCCTCTGCAGCGACCGCCTGAACCATCACCAACGCGCCGCGACCTGCCTTGACGTGCAAACAGCACCGTGAGGCTCCTCTGGAAGGAACACGCACCCCACCTCGCCCTGCTGGCCTCCCAGCCATGCTCCACGTTGATAATGTGCACCAACTGTCCTCACTCAACCCAATTCCAGCATATCCTTAATTACAATTATAAATTACACGTTTTAGCTCACTTTGCTAACGCGCGATACCTTTATTTTAAGCCAACACACCAGAAAACGGGACAGAGGAGCTGATGCTGTTCAATCAATTAAAACTGCTGCTTACAAATTGGAAGCCAAAGAAATTCCTTAGCTTGTATTTTCTGTCATTTTGCAAAAACATACCTGGGTGACAAGGTTAAATCAAGCAAAGGAAATCCCTGGCACTTATCATCCACAGGCATTACTGATAAATTGTGCAGTGGAGGAATAAAGGATTACCTTCTGTATTTTTTCATTACACTTTTCTTTTGTTACAGAATACATAAATCCATTGTGGCACAATGTAATATGTATCATCGTGCTACACCTGTGGACGTTTCATAACGGCTGCCATGTCTGTGCAGTCAGGAATGATAAGTGAACCACCCGTGAATGTTAATGATAGTGATCATTCTGCGGTAACTTGGCTTTCCATCTTCTTTTACAGCCTCGGCGCTGGAGCCAGGGTGGCAAGGTTCACCAGAGGAAAAAGAAAACAACAGAAGAGGCGAGAGCCCCGGCGGGCTGACGCCGGGGTGGTGCCCAGGGGAGGAGGTGCTTGGAGGTGGCATGGAAACGGGCAGCGTCCTCTCCATGGGCTCCGCTTGTGTCGCCAAATAAAAACCCAATGCTCAAAGGACAAAAGGCTTCTGTTCTCAATGAGAAAAACTTTTCCAAAAGCTGCCTTTCCAAGCTGGACAAATTTTGTTCTATTTATTTATTTTTTTTTTAAATACTCAAGTGGAACGTGTAGCACTTGGAGCTTAATGCAAAAAATTGTTGGCATGGCTGAAAGTGTCTCTGACTAAAAACGATTTCCACTTGATCAGCACAAAGCCAAAGTTAAGACTAAAAATCCCAGTTGACGCAATATACTTAGGTTAAGCTGGGTAATTTTTAAGATAAAGTGCACAGTGGTAGTAACCAGGATAACTATGCCAGCCACAATTTTTATTCTGAGCCTAAATGATCTTGCTGTTGTGCATCTCACGTTAGGCTGGATAACTCCGTGCGCTCTGGGGTTTGGTTGGCTGAATTCTGACACTGCTATGAGCCATCATTAGGCACCTGACAAGTCTGCTTCCTCCTCTGACTCCTTTCTTGGGGTCCCACCCCTCCCTGTTCACCACCCCGGGAGCCTACCTCCTTCACCTCAGCACCCACAGTAACTTCCTCAAATTTGCATTTTATGAATACTCTAAAATACACTTTTTGGATTATCTACACCCACGTAAAAACTGATGGCAGGCCTTTCGGGTAGTGCTTCTGTAATTTAAGTAAAAAACACATTCCGGAGCTTTGGATTGAATTTGTAAATGCACTATGAAATCTTGATATTTTAAAAGAGTTTCAAACCTTAATCTATCAGGTACAGTAGAGGTGCTGCTTTGCAAAATACATATATAATAGTAAAAGTATTTTAAACATAATATCAAAACAGAAAAAAGTGCTACAGAGCAGAGGAACTGTATGCCAAATTTCATCTATGTGCCAACTGGCAGCTGAGCTACAACTCCTAGAAACACCATTAGATCGAGTACGTCAAGTCATGATAATAAAATTTCCAAAGGAAAAAATCCTAATGATAGCACAGATTTATTTAAAGCTACCTTCGCTCAGAGGCTTTCAGGTATTACTTCATCATCTCGAGAAGCCTGCATTTACATGAAAGCAGTGCTTTGTTTGACTCCTCCTGACAAATCATACTCGACATCAAAGAGGGCTGTTTGCGAACGCCGCGTTTGACATTGGACAAAGTACTCCTTTCCACAACAGACATTTTCCAAAAACATAACTCGCTAGACTAATGGGCAGTTAGAAGCCAGAATGACTGCCCTCCGTCTTCTCCTTGTGTAACTTTGCCAGAGTCCTTGGAACTTGCCAAATTCGGTCATGCCTGCTTAGCTTGCTCGACTGATTGTGCCAGAAAAGAAAATAAGACACAGATGTATTTGAGCTCTTTGAGATGCCAGTAAGAGAGACAGCTAATGGCTTCATTTCGACCCTCCCCTACCAGCTGGGCACAGGTGGGGGGATAATGAGGTCCCTCTCCCTAATCAAACTCAATTATTTACTACTCTGTATAGCCACAAAGACATTCACATTCAGCTCGGAATATAAAATGCACTGTGGGCTACTTCCAGCCACTGCCACTGGGTATTTATAAGCAACTCGAGTGGCTACGAGTTTGCCTTGGCAGGAGTTTGAGTGTATGAAGTTCTGCAAACTGCTTCTGCTCAGACATGGTCTGCTGAAACGGGGTCCCCAGCGAAGTTCCGGAACTGGCAGCGCGGTAACTGCACGGGGTCTGAAAATCCACCCAGTGTGCAGGATGGGTGAGATCTGAAATAAACCACCATGCTTCAGCACGAAGCTTCTCAGAAGCAGCAAATTTTTCAACAGTGATTCAATATTAATAAACATTGCAAGTCACAAGCCTGACATAGCAGCAGCTGAAATACTTCAGCATGAGGAGGGAAAAACGAGATGCAAAATGTAAAAACACAATTGCATGCACTAGTAGGACGAGAGGGAAGGAAGAAGATGCAGAATTTACAACAAGTCCCTACAAAAATAAGACAACATGCACATTTAAATTCATAGTAACAATCTTTTGATCAACTGATGATCAAGTAATTATTCTAGGGGACATGTTGAAAAACTCTAATTTAAATCTAACTATTTATCAATAACTATTTACACAGGAAGTACAAGCAATTTCAAATTAACATGTGGACACAGAGAAAGAAAAAGCACTGCTTCCTGTGATGCAGTTGTCCTATTTCTAATGAGCAGGACCTCCCAAGTGAGAAGGAAGGTCCTCACATGAGCACAAATTATATTAAAGCAAAAGATTTCACATTTCTTTTGCAGGATTTGCAGCTGGACCTTAATCCTGCTACAAGCAGCAGTCAGAGCACTGCTGGCCAAGCTGGGATCCTGCTGAGGGCTCTGGGCTTCCCACAGGAACACCAGTTCCCCCTCCTCCACGCTAACGTCCAAAATCGGAGACCTCATGTGTTCATTGCATTTAAATACTAATCCCTATTCATGTACTGAGTGCAGGCAACGGGGATTTAGGTAGGAGGAAGCTGAGAAAGGAGACTTTTTCCAGATGAGAAATCATCAACAATTTAGTCTTCTAATGCTACTGGCTTCTTAGCTGGTCTTCCTGCAAGAAACACTTCTGATCCTTCCAGATTGCAGGGAATTACAATAGAATTTTCTATGTACCTGCTGGAATTTTTCTGGGGATACTGATAAGGCAAGATTATCTTGAAGACAAAACAATCATAAAATCAAAAAAAAAAATTACCAAATTTGTGGCAATGGCATTGACTCTATAGAAATGCACGCAGGTGAAAGACATTCCCCCTCTCGGATAAAACACGCAGCACTCTTCAGGCAGGGGGAAGGAACTAAATATTCTGGGATTCCCCAGGTGAAGAGTCAGTTCTCTGGCTCCACTGCGCGACTGTGACCTGCACACGCTGAAGAAGGACCTTGTAATCTGACTGGCAAAACTGCTCCATTTCCTCCGTGTTCCAGCTTCCCCAGGACCGCAGCCAGTGCAGCACAGCTGAAGATGTTTACCTTGAGCAACTTATTTGTAAATACTGTTGACAGAATCTTCTATTTTCCAACGACCTAATATAGTGGAATGAAGCGAATGGGCCTTCGGGAAGTACACGTGGGATTTCTAAGAATTTCTTTCAGTAGGACGCTTTAGAACATCTCTAAGAAACAGAGTCCACAATAAAGAATATAAAAATGTCATTAAATAGCTCAGAACTTTTTTTTAAGTGTCTGATTATTCAAAACCAGAAGCAGTTGTATGGTTACAAAAGGTAAGTAATACTTTACAAATTAAAAAAAATGTCCAATAGCCAGGAAAACCCTAGTAGCGTTTTCATTTCAAGAGCTCCACACATTAAATATTTTTCCCCAGTCAGAAGTGGCCTACGCTGCTGGTATTTTGTTATAGTAACTAAGGCCTTCTGATGGTTTCACTCACAAGTAAAACCAAAAAGTGACCAAGCACAGCATGTATCACTCAAACCCTAATTCACTGATAATGCCACGGCAAATTCTTCTTGAGCTGAGCAGACAGCTTCAAGTTTCAGTGGTGGACGGGGCCTTCCTCTTCCACACTCTTCTGGACTTCAGAGTGGTATATCCAGTCCTATTCGAACTGGCATGCTGCTTTACTGCTCGTTTCTCCCCTCAATTGCTGCATTGTTATTGATGCACTCTGCAACTATTTGTATGTAAAATTACTTGCTTTGCAGTCCACTAACCAGTCCTAAAATGCAGTTTTACTACTTTGTCTGTCAGGCTTAGAAAGAAGATTTTGAAGTCTCTCGTACATGGAGTACCCAAACCCCATGAGTGCACTCTCTTTTTCTGCCAAAATCCAATACATTTTCCCCAAAATAATTACAAGTCACTAACAAGATCAGTTCTGAGTACCTGTTGAAAAGGGCTCTGGATATCCAACACGAACGACTTTCTAATTTTAACTCTCTGAAGCTATTACGCATATTATTTCATTTATTATTGAGAACATATTTTTCATAAATAAGCAGCATGGCTGGAGCAAAATGAAGATTACGAGCTCAGACTTTGTGTAAATTCCAAACGCTCCCCACACCAAGCATATTGTCTTCTCTGGAGTTCTAGACTCAGGACAATGGGCCCACCCAAGTCTCTGCCAGCAGCAGTTACCTTTCTACCTGCCCCGTGACGGATGCCAGACCAGGGCATCGTCTGCAGAGAACCGGGAACACACGTGCCCCTGAATTTCGCTACGTTCGGATGAAGGAAAGCAGAAGGAAAAAGCCAGCGAGGTGGCACGGACACACAGGTGCTCCCCGCGGTGAGGAAGTTACGTCCATACTCACATGCGAACAAAGAGCGACTGTTTGGCCGCCAGGCCCGGAGACGAGTACTTCTCAACCAGCGCCAGAGTGCTGAAGCCAAACTTGTGAATGGGCTCATTGGAATCCAAGGGCGGAAAATCCGTGTCAACCTCGCCATCGTCCTCCGCAATGTGCAGGCAGTAGGCGCTGACGTTGTCGCTGAAACAAAGACAAGACAAGTTCCTTCAGCAGGGAAGGCAGAGCCGGTCCAGTTCCGCCCATCAATACCAACAGCTGCAGGAAGCAAACCAGCAGACATGTCTGTTAGAGGAGTAATTTAAGCCACTGATGGCACGTACACAAACGTGTCCCAGAGTCCCAACGGATCTTGCTACCGTAACCGTGCGGTAACAGGAGAAACCCCAAAACCTCCGAGTAACGCAGCGAGTCTCACTTCATCGTTCGCGGCGCTGCAAGCAAAGGACTGACAGTGATTAAAATACACCCAAGTCTATAAAAGTTTCATGACTCCGTGAGGCTGGAAGCAGTATTTCTCCATTGGTGAGAATGTATTTCTCTATATGACCATCACCCTGTAGAATTACAGACAAACAAGCAATGTCTGTCTGTTTTTTCATAGATCAACTGGGGAAAAGTTCGCCAAACGTACGCTTGAAAAGCTGAGAAGGCTCTCGGGCAGGTACACAGTGGAATAAAAACTACAAGAAAAGTAAAAAAATCTGTTCAACACAGCAGCAACAACTCGTAGAAGTTACCTTTTCTAAATATCTCAGAAGTTCAATCACTAAAAGCAGTTAAAATTAGTACAGACAAACAAGCAGAAGTAAATAACAAAGTTTTAAACAGATACAGTGTGAAGAAAATCTGAAAGAAAAATCTAAGCCTCTTTCTTTCCACAGACAAAGCCCACAGGGAAACAACTACCTACATACACCAAGCAGAGTATTAGACATATTTTCCCAATATTAAAATCTATTTCAAATGCAAATATTCAAATTATTGAGCTGAAAATAAGTATTCTTTCTTATCGTAAATGCGCCAGCATCCAGGCATTTTCCACAGCCATGAAGTATGGCTTGAATGTTCACATGGCAGTGTGTTTCTAAACTCTGCAGTTTAAATTTGGAGTTTTAATAGCTTGATTGATGCTTAAATTAATTAATTGCAAAGTGTATGCTAATTGTTTAATTGGTCGCTTGATCTATATAGATCATTTTTTGAATTAAATGAGTTGATTTACAAAGTTTATTGATTGGATGTGACAATGAATTATTTCGCTGACTACCTGATTTGCAATTTTCTCAATTAATTCACAAACCTTTGGTTGCAACTGTGCTTTATTGAGAGTGCTTAGTCCAGGTGATCTATATGCACCTCGTCACGACTCAGACATTTATTACACAAAGCAGGTAATAACGATGCATTGCTATTAATGCAAGCTGTGCGTTTGCTAAGGAGAAGGTAACCCAGCAATGCTCGTCCCTGTGAGTTCTGAAAACTGCAATACTGTTAGAGAAACTTTTATGAGTCTCTGGGCTGCTATGAAGAACCAGAACATTGCTGCAGAATTAAATTCTAACTTCTCCGAGAGCGTTTAAGTAACTTTTAGGGGAACTGGTGAGAGGTAGGGCTGGGCAGAGAGGGCACACAGCGCCCGGGCGCTGGCACTCGGAGGACTCCTGCGGGTCGCGTGGTTTCCGTCGGTGCTGGTCTTTTTAGGGCCCTTCTCTCATTCTAAGGAGATTTCTGCTAGTGCCGACACCAGTTCCACACGCTCGCTCTGTCCAGTTCGACCTAACTCAAAAGCCAACCCCTGCTATGAGACTTCCCAGTCTGAACCATCTTCCCCCAGCTGTGCTCTGTGCCTTACGCTGCTGATTTTCTAACCTATTCATTTGACAGAATTATTCTATGTGCAGCCTGGTGTGCACTTAAAGCTCTGTATAAATAAAGTTAACATTTTCATTTGGTACTTGATGTATTTGCATAATTCTCATTAAAGCCAGAGGAACATACACACGTGCAGGCAACAGAACACGTTCAGTGGGGTCTCAAAGCAATCCAAGTGCTAAAAAAAAAAGGTGGTGGTGACAACAACTTATCTTCCACCAATTATACTGAAAACAGTCAATGTCGGTTAAATCTCATAAACCAAGAGAGTTACAAATGTCTTCAAACCTGGAGAGGGCTCCTGAACATTAACACAGATTAAGTCACAATCTGTTGAAAGAACAAGCCCAAGGGGTAAAACTGTTCTGCATTGTGAACCTCCACCAGGATGAGATCAAAGTCCTGACTTCGGGCTTCAAATTACAAGGTGCAAAGACTTGAGAATCTGAGTTTGTTATGGACAGAACGTAAAAGTTAAGTACAACAACTGACAGATGTAGTAGCATTCTTAACTTCTAAAAACAGGAAGTTTGTTTGAATTTTAAATCTCACTATTAATTTATTCCTAGAAAAGGATTTTGTTTATTTTTTGCAGGCAGAATCATTACAGCACATCTGTCAGGGGTTGGGAAGAGAAGGGTCCAGTGGGTTATGACCAAAGTTCATGTGTAAGAGGCCAGGAATAGAGTTGCTAACACTGTCAGTGGTTCCTCCTGTCAAGATACTGAACAGAGACAAATATAATACAATTATAATAAAAAAAGGCAGCCTAACTGACACAAAACGTTCTCAAAGCTGTCAACTAGTACTCACTCATTTCAGACTCTTACATCTACCTTTTAGGAAAAAGAATTAGGCAGTAATCTGTTCTCTTCCTAAAGACAGAGCGCTTGTTCCTCTTAGTCACAAAGTCTACAACCTCCTCATTATTCTCAAATTGTGCTACTAGTAGGTATATTTGTCATTCTGCAAGCGTTGTACATCAGAGTTGAGGCATTCTCTAGATGTATTTCAGTGCAGTGTCATCATGAGCGCGATTTTTTCTTTTTATACTCTAAACTGACTAAATCAGGAACAAACAGCAAACGTAGAATGTGCAACCTACACAAGCTCTTTTCCTATTTGGAAGTGTTGAGCATTAGTCTACAGTTAAATCAATCCTTGCTACAGGACAGGCAGCCAGCAACGCTAAATAAAGATGATGGAGACATGAGAAATAATGAACTACACAAGAAAACAAACTTCTTGTAGTCTTGAGGCTCTGCTCCTTCCTCCGAGCATTTGTACCCAGAATCTCAACTCCTGCTCTTGGGAACTCACACCTCCATTATTAATTTTATTATTTCTGTCCTGAGATTTGATTACATTGGACAGCCTCCTTGGTCATGATCACTCTTTGACACATCATAACATCTTATCCTTCAAGGCAGACAGTGAAATTCATTTCCTCCCACTGCTGACTTTTGCCGTGGGCAACGATGTTTATGGAATACCTTTACTCACAAGAAATGTTCCGTTTGAGGCGTGGTGTGCTCCTGAAAAATAGACATGTGTCCAAAGATTGACATTAGTGGTGTCTTACTCGTTAAAACATAAGCTAATCATACACAAAGGATGCTTTTTTGAACTTATGATATGACGAACAAAAATTAATAACAGCAAATGAATGGCACCATCTGCAGATAATTTTGTATTTCTTTTCCAGTGTAAAAAAAAAAAAGACAAATCAAACTCAAGTGTTTAACCTCTGAGACATCTCACATGTTTGTTGAGAAGAGCTAAGGGAAATCCTACATCCAAGGTAACAATATCCACAAAACTGTTTTCAAGAGGGGCTGCTTTCCTGGGTTGCCCTGTATCTTCTCAACAGAAGTCAACTCATCCCAAAGCCAGGCAGCTCAAGCGACCTCTCGGCACCTCCCTTTCCCCCTTACAACTGTGCTACAACAGGAGAGACCACTGAGACCTCAGACACTTCTGAAAAACGCTGAAAGAGCAAACTGTAAAATTCAGTACCAAAGCAACCAATTCATCAAATATTCCAGGAACAACAAAAAAAGTGAAAATTGGCTCCTATAAAAAAATCCAAACCAAACTGTTCACCTTGTTTGCACCAGAAAAGTCACCTGCTAGTATGTTACTAATAAGTCCATAATAAACTATTTTAAGTTCTTATTTTACGTTCTATGACTGAGCAAAAACTGCAGTATTTTACAGAACTGTTTAAAAGCCAAAGTTGCTCAGAGGTACCTGGTTTATGTACCTGACGTCGCCCACCATGACAAAGTAACGGCTCTCACTCAGCACCACTAGTTCTTCAGCACAGCAAATCCAATCCACTATTTAGTCAAAGAAATCCCAGGAGCAGAACTCTTTCACAGTGAAGACGTAAGCAATGATTACTAAAGATACTGAAAAATCTATTGATTAACTGAAGCTAAAATTTCTGAGCACAACACGGATGCTGCTCTTTACAGCAAAGAGCCAACGTGACTGAGGTCGAAGTCTTGCAGAAATTCAGGATCCTTATCTGCATATCTTTATTTTAGTGCTGTCTCCAGGATAATAACCTGGAAAGAAAAGCACCTTAGCCCTTACACCTGTCAATTCTCAGAAAACCAGAAATATTTTAACACGTGTATAATGAATTACAGTCATGATGTCAGCAAAATGACAGCAAAAAGGAAGTTAAGTGATCATGCTGAAGTTGTGCGACAGAATTCTGACTTGTTGCCAGGCATCCTCACTATGGCTGAAATCTCTCCTACGGTTCCAGGAGAACACTACCAGTACTTCCAAGACACGCTGTTCCCCAGTGCAGCGGTTCCTCTCACCGGTACCGTGCAGACAAAACGGAGTCAGAATCTGGGACCTCCTCTCGGAACAAACGAGAGGAGTTAAGGATGAGTTCAGGATTTTATTTGACATCCTTGTGATCTTAGCCATTAAAGAACACTACCAAAAACCAGATGGGACATAAACCAAAAAATGTCTCCGTGACACCAAAAGAGGTAAGATTTATATTATTTTTACATAAAGCATTTTGAAATTCTGACTTGTTTCCAGATCCACGGTTTCACACGCTTATTGTTACACGGTACCCGGTAGCTTAATTGAAAGAGAAACGGATATAGATGCACATGTGCTGCTCAAAAGGAAATTCTGATAAACGTGTAGGTGGCTTCTTAAGATTTATCTATAAAAACATTGACATGGAAATCCACTTCATTATGCAAAAAGGCTGCAGAGGAGAAAATTAGAGATCAAGAGGTAGTAAAGAAAGAACATTACTTCAGCTTTGGTTCCCGTCCCTCACTTGTATATTGCCAGCATATTAGTCCAATCAGGTCATGCACCTTGGCATTTGCTATCGTCACAACTGTCATGGGCTGTAGTTTGTCTTGGCTTGTGTGCAGTGGGAGGTAGACATCAATTTTTTTGGTTGCCGTTGTACCAACATGACCCTGTCGAGAAAATATATTTCATTAGAATGTATAAAAGAAAAAGTATGACAGAGCTAATACAAATCTGGTACGGATAGAATTCTTTTCAGTAGAAAGATTAAAATACACTGCTACAACTTAAAATTGGAAGAAGCTTGAACGTTTAAATTCCAATTCTTTTACTGCTGTTTAATGTATCTGTAAAAATGATATGAAATATTTGGCAACGATTTCACAGATTTCCATAAAAAGTGGCATCTTCACTGCAAGATCCCATGTTCTTGCAGGATCAAAACACACCAACAAAAAAGGTATAAAAAGGGTGGGATGGGGGGGAAGAGAGCACTGACAAGCCTACCAAAAACTTCAAACCATTTTTCCATCAGCATTTAATTCTAGCCTTACCCTTGTTTCTGTATTTCTGCTTTCTTCCGTAGTTCTTCCCCCTCCCTGAAGAGCTCACCTCCTTCACCCGAACAACTACCAGCTCAGGGTCCCTTACCCCCCAGCCAGCTCTCCCTCCCGGGTGCCCGGCACTGGCGAGGCCCCTCCGTGGCAGCACCGAGCAGCCCGTCTCATCGCTCGTTACTCTACTTCTGGAACGCGCCAAGATTGCCAACGCTACTGGCTTTTCTGTGTTCCAGTTCCCCTCCAGCTTTTGTCTGGGACTCGTCTCGTCCTCCTCCTTTGCCCTCCTTCCCCTGCTGCCGTACCAAGAGGAGCCAAAGGAGCTCACACTGGAAGCACAACAGGAGAGAACGCAGGGAAACTCTCAGCATCCATAAAAAGGGGAGGCTGGAGCCTGGCCAGCACATTCCTACGGAAAGGAGGAAAAGCAAGAGCCCACCATGGCTGGCAGGGGTCTACACACATAAATCAGCGAGATCTAAATGTGAATCTTACAGACACCACCAATTCAGAAACAGGTACCGAGCTCAGAGCTTCGGGCACAGCCAGACACACACCCCGGGCTGCTCGTCCATGGGAAACCAAACCAGGCAGCACGAGGCACGCGAGAACTGCGGCAAAACCAACCCTGGCTCACACGTGGAGGTTAAGATGATGTTTAAAAATAAACCTTTGGCTCGACCTTGGTTTGCCAAGAGAAGAACAAAAATCACACACACAACTGAGGCGTTAGACTATTTTGAACTATTTGACAACAATCAAGGATTAACTAATATTGGGTTTTATTGGAATTTGCTGTATTAAGAAAATCTATTTGGCACTGTGGAGATGAGCAATTAAATAAAACAGAAAATACACAGCAACATAAAGATCTATAAAGTTTGCGTTACAAGACAAAATCATTGACGCTGTTGCAGACAGGACTGTGTCTGTAAAGCAGCAACCTTTCAAACAGAGGGTTGTACAGCCGGATCCCCCTTCGGAAGCACTCCCATGTCAAGATATATCTATACCTAGTCAGGCCTTCAGAGAAGAAAGTATTATTCAAATTAATCACTCAGAATCCTAAGTAACAGAACAAAAGGATTCGATACTATAAATCTATGATGAGAGTATAAAACAGGGAGTTAAATGCCATGTGATAATTTCAATATATTGTTAAAAACCATTTGATCCTTCAGTGTGACTATAAATTAGAGATAATAGGAATGTAAAGATTAAAGTTTTTCATACTAGCATAGCTAAAAGTGTTATTAAAATCCATCCAAATATAATGAATGTTTCGTAGAAAGCATCTTTACAGTGCAGACATCTCCTCTTCCCATGTTTTTAAGGTAAGAAGAAATTGTTTTTACTCATTTAAAAGGAAACGTTATATTTGTAACAGAATATGAGACATTCCACCACCTTGCTTGGATAAGCCTTAACAAGCCCTTGGACAAGCGAGCGAGCTGGTGTGCCCGGGATTCTCTGAGATACCACCCATACCCACGACCTTACCTTGCCAAGGAGATCACAAATCCAACAGCACTACAACTGCTAAAAAAATGAAATTTTTGTTTTCTTTCTTTCTCCTCTCGCTTTCCTACACACACGACTTATTTTTAAGGCGATTTAAGCTGGTATCAGATAATGAATCACCAGCCTCAAAGTCTATTCCTGTCCTCACCCAGGTGCAAACACCATGCAGGGGGATGGACGGACACGCACATGGCTGTGGGCATCACTCACGTTACGGTCTGACTGGAGATACCAGCCAGAACGGGAGACCTGTTGTTCCAACTACATTTGCATTTGAATGAGCGAAGAGCAGTTATGGAGGAAATGAATGGGACTCCTTGGCATGCCAAGTTAGTCACATATTTAGATCCAAGGACAGCAAAATCATAAGTAATGCTTAGTCCTGATAATGGAAAACCCAAGAAAAATCGACAGCCAGATGTGAGAGTCGATGCCAAGGTTGTGGTGGATACACACAGTGTAGAACCAGCAAACGGACAAACGTGCTGAAAACTGTAACTAATAACCAGAAAGACCAGAATATTCCACTAGCCACTGCTGCAAGTACAGACTGGTTTGTAAGCTCATAACCCAACACACACACGTATTTATAAAACACATCCTGGGGACCCTGGTCCTACAGCTACCCCAAATCAGACGGTACCTTCCTTGTATCACCTTTCACAGGGCTTCTCCTTATTCTTTGCCCTACACTGTGCTGTTACTTTGTATTTGTTGTTTTTTAAACAAACTTTTCCTTGTTCATCCCCATCTCTAGATCTCCTCACCTCCTCCAGTCTATTTTTACCATCTTGCTTGTCCAAACCCCCTCCCTTACCGACGTCCTCCTCCTCCTCCAAACCCTCCGCACGAACACCCGATGACAGGTGACTCGAGCCAGCGGTAATTCCCACACGTATGAGGATTCCACCCGCTCTTTGAGCACCGGGAGCAACACCAGCCGCGGCAGTACCGGGACACGGCTCAAAAGCATTGCTGTTACACTCAAGATCTTTACAAAGGCGAGTGAAATACTTGTATTAATTAAAAGTGCTGTAAAACCGATTGCCATAACACATTGGAGAGGATGAAACCTGAGATTTGGAAGCTGATTAGACTTTCCATCAGTAATGGGAATATTCACTGTCACGTGAGGTAGGAAACATCAGCATGGCCTATGAACACGTGGGTCAAGGCTCAGACTGATCAATGACCAAGTCAAAGGGGTCAGGAAGAATCTCCACTGTTTTTATTGCAAATTAATGATATTTCTTCTGAACCAGCACTAGAAATCCAAAACATCAGGTACCTGTCTACAGGGCGGAATGAATCCATATTCTTAGTCCGATCCTGCAAAATATTAATTGTGTAGGAAGTCCCACAGAGCTCAATTACTTACCTGTGCAAAGCTTATTAGGTAAGGATTTGTAAGTGATGGGACTGAACAGAAGGGATCCAATTACTCGTCTGGTGGCCAAGAGTCAAGGACGGAGCCGCACTGGATTTAACTGGCAATAACTTGGGGTTTTTATATGGCACTTGTAGTCACTTCTTCAGGAAGAATCATTCAGAACCAGATTACAGACACTACTGGAAGCATAATTACTTTTTTCTCCCAACGAAAAAATTGTATTCCAACTGTAAACGCTGAGGAGACCCAGAAGATAAAGTACAATTACCTATATTCAAAAAGGCAGCATCAAACTTTATTAATAGATCCTGTATAAAATTCAATGGAAAATCTATTCAGGGCCAGGGGCCTTACCATTTGGAGTTTCCTTAATAGCCTCCAATAAATCTGGGAAGCATAAAGGGGCTGTTAAATTAACATTTTCCTGATCTGTCACCTGTGGCATAGTTAATTTGTCAAAAAATTCTTTTAGCTTGTCACTGGACACTGTATATTCTGACAAATGAAGTCTGGAATAAAATTGACAAAATATCTCGTTAATTTTCTAGGAAATCGCAAATCTGATTCCATTAAGATTTTATTGTTAGAAATGTTATATCCCACCAATCCTTTAAGGAAACGAGGAGTAACTGGATACACAGAAAACATAAAATTAATCACAGAAAATTTTCTTAGTATTTTTATTAATGGATTCTCTTAAGACTACCCAGTGCTCTCCTACAGTCTGATCTTAGGAAAATTTCCATTTGCTATTTCTATAACATTTTCATCTCACGCAAAGCAAAGATGATGTTTCATCATCTGCAATTCACTGGAGAAGACGTGGCACTGTGCAGTGTACACAGGCTTGAAGAAGCAAAAAACCAGGGATGCTATTTCCCAAATTATTGCTAATGTGGTGTGCACGTAAACAAAACACTTTATATTTTTGTGTTCTCTACCTCTGCCGTCAGAATTCTCGGTGGTTGGCACATGGCAGCTCTCTGGCACGTTACAGCTTTTCTTTTCTGCTGCTACTCAAGAGCTGCACAGAGTTATGCCCGTTATTTGACACTTCTGAAAAGTACAGTCTGCTGAATCCACAAACTTTCTGCTTCCTATTTTTTATAATTTAAATTAAGCAGATCAATGTGTATTTATGCACTGTGATAATAACCGGCAGCTAAACTTCGGAAAGTTATTCCCATTAATAAACAAATTTCTTCTGAAAGAACAACTTGGTATCTCAGCCTACTGCTCCTGTGAATCCCCGCTTTTCGTGTTGTCTAAAACAAAGACAAAATAGGACAGTGATATTTGGGGATATATAACAAGAGTAGTCGGGCTCATTACAAGAACATAAATAGCACCAACAGCACATAAATACGTTGCTGGTACTTCTAGACACAAGAGTAGGAGTGAAGGATACGACAGGCAACTCAAACGAATTTTCACGGATTTTCTAGGATTCTATTTGCAAGCTATGGTCTTTAACTATATAAATACTGGTTACTACAGTTATGACAGAAAAACTGCAAATAGAATGATCTTCCTTGGCTACATACAATTTTAGATATATTTATCTTTAAATAATGTTCTGTAACAGAATTAATGCGCTTTAAACACAAACACAGTATGTTAAATTAAAAAAGATTATTTAAACTCTATCAATTCTTTCAACACAATAAGTCTTCCTAAGATTTAAAATCAACTTTTA